CTTAAATATCCATAATTCAGTTATGATTACAGAATGGTGACGCATCGGGTTTATGGTGTCCATGCCATCACCACTCCACTCCACAACAACAAATTGAACTCCAGGAAAAAATATACAAAGGTCTTTGTCGCATGCTGAATATTGAATGAAATAAGTGGCGTCACCTCAACGTCATAGCCCAGCAAATTCAACTCAACTCGTTGTGTGTCTGTCTCTCAGTCTATCTATGCCTGTCACCCATCCCAATTTCTGAGGCAGACACGCACAAGCCATTTTGAATAAAATCCATAATTGGATGAACTTTTCATAAGAAACAAAAAAAAAAGAGTTTATTATTTAAACGAGAGAAAAGGTCATAAACGTCATGATGAATGTGACAATAAAAATGCAAACGAAAAACATGAGCTCTTCTTTTTGAAACAGACACACACACACCCAAACACAGTGTCAATTTTGAAACAAAGGAATTTTCATGAACATAATCATAAATCAAGAATCAATAGAATATTGAAAATCATTAAGATGATTATTTACTGTCAAAGAATTATTTTTGATTTTGATTGGATGACATTGATTTGGAGGGAAAGAATTTGAAAATAAGATTTGAAAAAAAAAAAAAACACAGATAGGAGAATTTTCTTACTCCAAAGACACTCTTGGTGGGATATTATTAAAAATCATTGGAAAAAAAAGTCTGCCCGCTCTTCTATATAAGGAAGTGCTCCTTAAGGACTTTAATATATAGAAGATTAGCCTCAAATTTGCAGATTTTCGCACGTCTTTTTTCCATATATCGCATAACCCATCCAGCTTATTTTTAGTTCGAAGGCCTTAAAAAAGTCCAGAAAAAAAGTTATTCGTGATGGAATTTAAGCGGGATAGTGTGATTTTTATACCCTCCACCATACTATGGAGGGTATATTAATTTTGTCATTCCGTTTGTAACTCCTCGAAATACTCATGTCAGACCCAACAAAGTACATATATTCTTGATCAGCGTAAAATTCGAAAACGATTTAGCCATATCCGTCTGTCTGTCTGTGTGTCTGTCTGTCTGTCTGTCCGTCTGTATGTCTGTCTGTTGTAATCACGCTATATTTCGAACAAATTGAGAAAGAAGGCTAAAATTTTGCACACATGTATATTTTGCCAGTCGGCAGGTTAAGTTCGTAAATGGGCCATGGAGGTCCAATTTATCATATAGCCCCCATATAACGTTACCTCCCTATATTCGGTATTTTGATGATTTTAGCGACATTATTCACCGGACTTGTTTCAAATTTGGCATTTGAAGTTCGTAATGGATCCTACAGCCTAAGACAGAAAATTATCTATGCAGGTCCACGTCTTCGTGTAGCCCCCATATAACGGTACCCCCCGATATTCGGTATTTTGACGATTTTAGCGACGTTATTTAGCGGAATCGTTCCAAATTTGGTATTTGAAGTTCGTAATAGATACTGCAGCATAAAACAGAAAATGGGCCATATAGGTCTACGTCTTCATATAGCCCCCATATACCGTACCCCCCGATATTCGGTATTTTGATGATTTTAGCGACATTATTTACCGGGATTGTTTCAAATTTCGCATGTGAAGTTCATAATGGATACTTCAGCCCATGCCAGAAAATTGTCTGTGCAGGTTCATGTCTTCGTATAGCCCCCATATAACGGTACCCCTCATATTCGGTATTTTGATGATTTTAGCTACATTATAAACAGATTTTTCTTCAAGTTTCGCATTTAAATATTGTAATAACTTATGACAAAAGTTGCCTATGCAGGCCCACGTCGTCGTATAAGCATTCGGTATTTTTAAGATTTTAACTGAATTTTTAACGGATTTTATTTTATTTTATTTTTTTTTTTTTTTTTTTTTTTGGAAATTGCCAAATTTGTACCAAATGGTGGAGGGTATTAAAAGTTTGACCCGGCCGAACTTACAGCTTTTTAACTTGTTTATATTTGGCTGGAAAACCACAAGTGGCTATCGTTAGAGCACTCCAGCATTTAAGTGTAAATAAATCTTTTGTGTCTCGTACCATCGCTCGTTACCGTGATACTGGTAGCGTAGCCCTTCGTCAAGGAAGTCGACAGAAGGTGGAAAACAGCAAACATCGGCAGAAATGATTCGAACAGCAAAGAAGCGACTGGATCGAAACCCGCGTCGCAGTGGCCGAAAAATGGCTCGTGAGGTGAGCTGAACATATCGCAATATTCCATTCGGCAAATTTTGAAAAAATGAGCTCGGGGTTAAGCCATTGAAATACCAAAAAGTGCAAGAACTTACACCGCAACAAAAAGAAAATAGACAAAAAAGAGCTGAAGAGCTTCTTCGCTTGGCCGAAAGTGGTGAACTGCCGAATTTGAGTTTCTCCAATGAGAAAACATTCGTTGTCCAGCTGTTTGTAGACAAACAAAATAACCGTATTTACTTGCCACAGAGGTCAGCTGAAAATGTGCACCTTCGGTTGGCCACCAGAACTCAAGCGCCGGCCATGGTGATGGTGTGGTGCGGGCAACCATAATAGCCGATGGTCGCTGTCCGCTCGTATTAATCGACCGTGGCATCAGAATAAATGCCGAATATTATCGCGAATATATTCCGGAGGGTGTATTAAAGCCTTTGGCAATCCAACAGGACTCAGCACCATCGCACCAATCCATTGGACTTGAAATTGGAATTAATATAAAATTTAATTCAGATTTGGCACATCTCAACATTTCTATCAACCTTAGATCTGTTATAAAGATGGTAGAGATCGGTGCATTCCTTCTGGTACCTCCCATACAAAGAGTCAACATTTTGAATAACCAAAAGAATCAGAAAATCCGAAATAAGCATCCGGTTCTCTTCATATATCAGGCATTTCAACATTTTCAATAACACAAGATCTGTTATGAACATGGTGGAGATCGGACCATTCATTCTAGTACCTCCCCCACAAAGAGTGGAAATTTTGAAATACCAAAACCATCATAAAATTCGAAATAAGCATTCTGTTCTCTTCAAATTTCGCACATCCCATTATTTCTAGTGACCCAAGTTCCGCTGTGAAGATGGGATATATCGGCGCACTACTTCTGGAACCTCTCCCGCATAGTGTTGAAGATTTTGAACTCTCAAAGGAAGCGAAATAAGCCCCCAACTCGGTTCAAATTTCACACATTCAAACATTTCTGTTAACACAAGATATGTTGTGAAGATGATATAAATTTGCGAATTGTTTCTGGTATCTCATCCACAAAGGGTCAATACCCCGACAAATATTTTTTAAAAGAATCGCGATTTCTTTCAGAGAAAAATCTAAAAATATATTAAAAAAACTTCATTCATAAACAGAAATCCGTTGAAAAATATTTGAAAAAACTTAAGGACTTTTGTCGATAAAACCCAGATTTTTTACACCAGAGTTTCTGTCTGACAAACCCTGGGAAAATTAAAAAATCTAAGTTTTTCAATTGGTGGCCCATTGAAAAAAACTTGAAAATTATTTTTTTAGGAATAAATATTTTTAAAGATTTCATTTTTGACCATAAAAAATATTTTAAAAAAATCAACGATTTTGTTGATACAATCCTTATTTTTTACCGCTAAGAAGTGCTGGAAAAAATTAATAATTCAAGATTTTCAATTGGGAAGACCTTAACAAAATATTTTTTAAAAATCGATTTTTCCATTGAAAGACCTCGAAAAATATTTAAGAAAAAATTACTATTTCTGCAATTGAAAAAAAAAAATTAAATCCATGATTATTTGCCAAAAATGCAACTTCAAAGCATTTCTGAGAGGGGACAACCTCAACAAATAAAATATACGATTTCTGGCCGATAAGGGCTTAATAAGTTTTTTGGGACGTTCCAGAAAAATATTTTCACGAATCCTCCATTTTGATTGGGAGGACTGTGAAAATGCTAAAAATACACCATTTTTCCCAGCAAAGATATTGAAAAAATAGTTTATCTTCCGATGTAAACTTTCAATTTTTAACTCCTCTTTCACAATTAGTTGTTTTTTCCCACAATTTGGCTATTCCATGAAAAAATTACATTTATTGTATATTTAATGTTTATTATATTGTTTTTTTTTTATTTTTTTGCATTGTTATTTAAGATTTTAATTCTAACTTTTTTTATTCAATTTTTAAATATTTTATTATTTATTGGATCTCCTCTAATTCAATTTAATTTCTAACCACAAATTAAATTACCTCAAATGATTTATAGAGCTCTCAACAAAATTAATATTTTCGAAAAACCGGAGAAGAGAGGGATAGAGTGAGATATTAAAATGTGTCTCCTAGGTCATACACAAGCGTTTAATAATTTTGATTGATTACTTTGGTGTCTGGTGTAGTAGTGTGCGTGTGTGTGAGAGAGAGAGAGCGCTCATGTAGATGGGTCAGTGTCAAAAGAAGAAAAATGCGTTTGGCGACCTAATCGACGTTGTAAAACCTTTTACCTTAATAATGTAAATGTAAAATGTCTTAGTAAACCAAGAGTTCACCTTCAATGTTTTCACGAGGAGAGAGACTTACTCTTCCTCTATCTCTATCTCTCCCAGTCACGTTGGGGTAATAAAATGTTGTTGGATTACTCCGAAGTGTGTGTTTGTGTAATTTGCGCCTTTAAGCAATTTAAACTCTTTTTTTTGGTAATTTAGCATTAATTTGATTTCGGTGGGTTTCTTTTGATTTGGTGCGGTGGAATTTTTAGTTATAATTATTTAATAAAATTTCGTTTTTGGTAAATTATTGCCAAAGGGCAATTGATTTTATTACTCGACTTTGGAGTTGGGGGTAATTAAATTAGAGAGCGATTAGAAAATATTTAACTCTTTTTGGTAATATATTATTTAAGGTGGGGGGAATTGTAGTTGTTGTAGAAAATATTTAACTCTGTGGGTAATTTTTTTTATGTAGTGTGATGGAATTTCTTGTTTATGCCTTAAAGTAAATTATTATTAACAACTATAATTTTCTTGTCTCTCTTTTGCAGGTCCCCTCTCTGAAGTACAGACCGCTGTTGGCCTCGAGGTAGCATTGCCCTGCGACCTAATGCCAGGTACCATGATGGCTGATAAGGTACAATTGGTAATTTGGTATCGTCAGGGCAATGTTAAGCCTATCTATACGTAAGTACACCAATAATAATTATTCGAAAATAATTAAAATTTATTTAAATAGACATTAGAACAATATTTTGATGATTATTATTTTTTCTTCAAATAGAAAATATAAATTTAAAATAAAAATAAAAATATTTGGTCAATTTTAGAAAAAATCGAAAATTATTGTAAATTAAAACTATTTAAATAGGAATTGAAAATTCATAGCTGGCATTAAAATTAACAAATATAAGGAGGTTAAAATATTGCATAGAAGATTTTCTTTGAAAAGATGCCGGTCAGTTGAGATAATTTTTGCAAGGATAGTTTATGAACTCTAATGGGATGCATGAACAAGTTAAAACGTATCAGCCAATATGGCCGACAGATACATACCCTCAGCCAATGTTCGATCATTTAAATCTATTCTGACTTCTATTCAAATTGTTGACCCTCTATGGAGTCCGTTCCGAAAGAATTGACCAATATTGTCCATTTCGTACCGGACTTAAATAAATATGATATAAATATTGTGACGTGCCAGGCTTGGACCATATCGACTACCTACTTTACTTAATATGAAATATGTGATAGTTTTTAGAAAATGCTGAAATATGCGTTAATTGCCAGATATAGTCGACTGAAGTATTCCATTTTCATAATCTACCTAATGCCGATAAAATATTGCTATGGGCAAAATTACAAGAAAATCGAGCATTTATGTCCTATTTTATGCGAACCCATAATTTCAGATCAAAGATTTTATACCCTCAGCCATATGGCTAGAGATACGGTCAAACGTGCCTAGTCGAAATAACGGTTTTAGACTCTAGGTCTCCTTGGACCAAATCCGTTTCAGGACATTTGGAGTTGATCTAGCGATGTTCGTCCGTCCATCTGTCTGTCTGGCTGGTTCGCACGGTAACTTGATACATCGTAATATTATCATCAAACTTAGATCGAATTCGGATATGGACAATATTGGTCCATTCCTTCTGGTCCTTCCCAAACAAAAGGCCGAAATTTGAAGAAAAGCATACTCTATCAAGTACCCCCCCCCCCCCCTCACAAAGGGTCACAATTTTGAATAACAATTGTAACTCGTATAAAATGTTATATAAGTGTCCGATTGTCTTCAAATTACTCACAGCACAATATCTTTATTCACCCATGGTCTGGGAATATATGGAATATATGGAATATATCGGTTCACTCTTTCTGGCACCTCACCCCCCACAAAAGGTCGAAAAAAATATATTTTCTGCACAAAAAGAGAAACGATAATCCGATTTTGCTCCAACTTTGAAAGAATTAATATTTGCTTCAGTGCTAGGTCAGGGGCGAAAATCGACAATATCGGTCCACTCCATCAAGTACCTCCCCCGCAAAGGGTCACAATCTTGAATAATTCTAACTCTTGTAAAATGCGATGTGAGAGTCCGATTGTCTTCAAATGTTACACATCCCAACAATCCTACTAACCCAATGTCTGGAAGAAAGATAGGATATATCGGTCCACTCTTTCTTCTACCTCCCTCACAAAGGGTCAAAATTTTGAAAATTCATGAAGCTCAGAAAACACGAAATTAATATCCGATTCCATTCGTACTTGGCACATCTCAACATTTCCATCAACACACGATGTGTTATAAAGATGGTAGAGATTGTACCATTTCTTCTGGTACCTCCCCCACAAAGGGTTAACATTTTGAATAAACAAAACGATCATACAATCCGGAATAAGCATTCGGGTTTCTTCAAATTACCCACATCCCAATATTTTTATTAGCCCAACGTCTGGTGTGTAGATGGGATATATCGGTCCACTCCTTCTGGTACCTCCTCCACAAGGTGTCAAAATTTTGAGTTACCCTGAAGTTCGTATAACGCGAAAATAACGTCTGATTTTATTCAGACTTGATGCATCTCAATATTTCCATCAATACAAGATCTGTTATATAGATTGTAGAGATCCCACCATTCCTTCTGGTACCTCCCCCCACAAAGGGTTAATATTTTAAATAACCAAAACTATCATAAAATCCGAAATAAATATCGGATTGTCTTCAAATTTCACACATCACAATACTTTTATTAGCCCAAAATCTGGTATGAAGTTGGGATATGCCGGCCCACTCCTTCTGGGACCTCCCCTAATAAGAGTCAAAATTTTGAATAACTCCACAAACAAAGAGTCACATTTTTTATAACTTGCGAAACAAGTCGGGAATTATTTACAACTTGCTATATCTAAATATTTCTCTTAACCAGAAATCTGATATGAATATGCAATGTATCGGAATTTATGATTTCGTAAAAAATTGGAAATAAATTTTAGATTTTCTTCAAATTTTGCACATACCAATATTTTTATCTGTATTGGATAAAGTATGAAAACGATACTTCGGTCCGCTATATCTGTTGCCGCTCATTGCACATATCTCATATAAAGTATAGGAAGTAGTCGATATAGTCCACGTTATAATATTTTTATGAGTCTTTGGTCAAATACGAATTGGTCAATATTTTCCAACTGCTTCGGAACGACCCCCATAGTGAGTAGACATTTTGAATAATCATAACTTAAGGCTGAAGTTGTATATCTGTCGGCAAAACCGACTGATACTATTTTATTCGTTTACCTTAATTTTTATACCCTCCACCTTGGAAAGGAGGTTATATTAACTTTGTCATTCCGTTTGTAACATCCTTAAATATTCGTCTTAGACTCCATAAAGTATACATATTCATAATCAGCATAAAATTCTAAGTCGATTTAACGATGTCCGTCTGTCTGTCCGTCTGTCTGTCCGTCTGTCTGTCCGTCTGTCTGTTGAAATCACGATACAGCCCACATTATTTGACGTAGAGCGCCAAAATTTAGCAGAGCTATTTGCATTGTGTCTAGGATGTTTAGTATTGAAAATGAAATATATTGGTCCACGTTCTGGTATAGTCCCCATATAACGGTACCTCCCGATATTCGGTATTTTGATGATTTATGCCACATTTTTTCACGGATTTGTCTGGAAATTGGTATTTGTAGGTCATAAGGGGTTCCTGAGCGTGTGGCAAAACATTGCATGTATAGGTCCACGTTGTGATATAGCCCCCATATAAACGTACCTCCCGATATTCGGTATTTTAGGTTTTTTGCCACATTTTTGCACGGATTTGTCTAAAAATTGGTATTTGGTTTCCAGCTCCGGTGGCGAAACATTGCATGTATGGGTCCATGATCCATATAACGGTAACTCCCGATATTCGGTATTTTGATGGTTTCTGCCACATTTTTTCAATGATTTGTCTAAAAATTGGTATTTGTGGGTCATAATGGGTCCTAGTTCGTGTGGCGAAGCATTGTAATTATAGGTCCACGTTTTGGTGTAGCCCCATATAACGATACCTCCCGATATTCGACATTTTAATGGTTTTTGCCACATTTCTTCTAATGTTTCTTTTACCCTAAGGTGGAGTGTATTAAAAGTTTGGCCTGGCCGAACTTAATGTTTTTTTACTGCTTAAATTTGAAATTTTATTTATTTTCAATATTTTTTGCATTCAGAAATTCCCATTTCTCATTTCTTGAGAATCAAAATAAAAATTTGTCTTAACCTCAATTTGTTTCCATTTATTTCCCGTCCGAAAAAAATGAGATTTATTAAAGAAATCTGATTTATTTCCACTGGATTGCTGGATGAATTATTAAACCGACGAGAAATGTTTATTTGTCTTGGCATTTCTTCGAACATATTTGCTGGCTTTATTACATTACGGGCTAGCCATGCTAGGCTAGGCAGAGGAAGATAAATAAGTAAAGCACTCAGTCAGCCAGCTAGGCTGCTATGCAGCCATTTTTTCTTCCAGCCTTTTGGCCTTATACATAACATAATTATTATTTACACCCGCATTTTATGTTGAATATTTCTTTGGAGATACCGTGACTGCCCCTACTCCTCCTCCTCCTCTCATCTCTTCTTGGTATCACTACCACTCATTTGGAATAATAAATATTAAGGAAAACACTTTATTCCCAATAATAATTTCCAGAAATTGTGGCAAGGTCTTATGGTACTTATTTGGTGTTTTTGGGTGGTGGGGAGGTCTGTGGTATTGACCAAAGAGAGGATGTGCCCAGAGAGAAAAAAAATTAACGAGGCGCCTTAAATTGTGTTGTTCTTCAACTCAAATCTTTAATGGACCTCATAAAGACATTTTTGGACGGCAAGAAATTCCAGCGCTCCTGGGGATAGGCCGGATGGCTGGCTGGAAGGTGTAGCTGTTTTTTTTTCTCCCCCTTTTTCTCCCTCCTCTCTTGCCTGCCTATATTTTGTACATCATGTTTGCTCTTCATTAGTTTAATTAATTGTTGTTATTAATGAGTTTTATTTTGTATTCAAATAAACACCTATACCTCTAACCTCACACCCCTCCCCTCACCCTCACGGCTCATCTTCATATTCTTTGAGGTATGGCCAAGAAGTAAAGGAAATATCTAATGATGTAAATGATTCCAAGAAGCAGAAATTTTTACCGAAAATATTTAAATGAATTGAAAAATTTTGTAATCTTTATTTCCTTTAATTTTTGGTGGTGGCGGCGGCGACATTCAATAGGGGTCTCATAATGAGCAGACCCAGACCCCCCTTGAAGTGGTGGTGTTCTAATTTTTATGGTCTGTCACTAATTTTAGGAAAGGTAAGGCCAGCCAGCCAGCAAGACATACAAATGGCATTTGAGGAATGTTTTTGTTTAAAAAAATGAATCCAAAAGAAAAACAATTAAAAAAATTGTCATCAATCATGTTTTTTATTATGGTTTGCTGCCTCGATAGAGAGGTGCCAGACCTTATGTCTAAAATCACGTAGCTGGTATCTAAATTGTAAAATTTTTATTGTTCGGGTTTTTTATCTTTATTACTTGTAATGTATTTTGGAAAATAATTTCTTTGGTGGCCCAAGGAATGGCTGGCCGTGATAAATCATGGCTGAGAGAGAACACTTAAGGGTTCAAAAGGAGGGTTGCCA